TTCCAGACTTCTACAATCCTAGTGCATTGTTCATTGAATGTCCCGTCTTGTTGACTGAACTAACTCATTCTGTGTAATACACTTAAGAGTCCTTGTGAGAAAGGCAGACTATAAATAATGCAAATAAACAAATGAATAAATAATCCATTGACCCAGGGCATAATAGTTGAAATAGTTGAAATATTCTGTAAAGGACAAAAAAATAGATTGTGAGCTCCACTTAAAGAAGTTCACAACTTTTAAAAATAAAGCTGAGAGTTTGCCCACTAGGACGATAGGTACAACGCATTCCCTAGGATACAGAGCCTACAGACACTAAAGCTTCCATTTTCTCAGATTTAACTTTGTGCCTATAAAGAATTTTAAATGCATGATTTTTAAAGGATCAGGTACAAATCATATATAAAACTGGAGAGCAGACACCAAAGACCAAACAAATGTAGTTACAAGTCCTCTCTTCCTAGCCCACCAGGCATTTCTAGCCATAATTATAATTATGGTACAAGAACCACAGAAAAGTATGTAACTAGTTATGATGTATCATTACAGAGCCTGCAGGATGACACACTAACCTAATTACCAGTGTGGCTCCCATCTGTGTATCTGAATTATCCTGAGTGTTATTTCTTATTATTAGTTTGTACTTCTAGAAAAGTACAATATTATCTACAGAATTCCTTTCATTTATGATCGCTGATACAAAATTTAATTATGTTCTCCAAGGTAGCTACACTTAGAAAACTGGAAACTGTCTTCTCAAAATGAAAAAGATTCAGTGAAGAAATTAATGATCTGCTTAGTCATCAGTGAGCTTTTCAGACCTCATATGCCTTAAGCTCAAACAAAGCCAATTGGCCACCCTCTTGCTTGCCAGATATTCACTTGACAAACATTCAGTTCAAAGGCTGAAATGCCAAGTGAACCCTTTCTAATTCCCAGCTATATATTTTGACATTTGCAAATTTGCAAATCCGAGATCCTGTATTCAAAACCAATCTTCACAGGCCCTGTGGGGAGCACCACTCATTCTGTCACAGGATGGCATATAAAACTGGGCAACTCAATCTCATGGTTAGGATGAAACTAGAATTGTGGAACCAGTGATTTGCACAAATCTAACCAAAGACTGACTCTCCCCTCCTTCCCTACCAAAGCCCTGCCTTTCTTCTGTACTGTTTGAGCACCAGTAGAGTTTTGCCAAAAGACTGCACTTAATGATGGGCCTTCAAGCTATTTGGACCCCACTGCTGGCAAGGGCCCATAAAGGGATGCTGGTTGTCTCCAGTGATACTGATGGCTGGTAGGGAGACAAACCTCTGTGATGCACAGATGACCTCTTCACTGTACTGCCCCAAGCAGCTGCCTAGGTAGCCTGGCTGGAAAATTGGCCCTGATGTAGCTTTCAGGACAGTTGCTCCTTCTATGGTTACCTATGCTCTGTCTTATCCATACAGAACTATTTTGTTCAGTGGGAAGAAGATGAATGCTACAGAAGGGGAAGAAGCTATATGAAATAGCCTTCTCGGGGGGGGATATTTATTTATTTAGTTTGATTTTTATCCCACCCTCCCTACGAACGGGCTCAGGGTCGGTTACAAAAAACTGGTCCAAATTACTGTATGAAAATATTTTGCTCTGTCACCTACATTATATTACAGCAAATAAGTTCATGTGGGTCTTGACAAGCTCACCTTGGCGTATTGGCTAATACCACCTGCTTCTGCCCAACAGCATATTGCTTGATCTCTCAGTCCTTGTTCCCAACAGAAATGGAGTGTACATCCTCGTACGCACACTAGCTCACAATGATTGCTTTCCCTCCTCCTTATTGCTTAGAGTGTTGGGATTTACAGTACAATGAACCTTTCATTGTTGTGACTGTGTTATTCTGTCAAGTCACATTTGTGCTACAAGGCACAAAAGTTCCATCTCGTCTTCCACACTATTTTACACCTACACAAAAATGTTTGTGTGTGTGTGTGCAAGATCATCCAGGGATCTGGAGAAGGGACACTCAGACCTGTTTCTCCTGTTCCTCTAATCCAGGTCATGGGGGTCTAAACCAGCACCAGTCCTCAGCAGAACAGTGACTAACAAGCAAACTTGACCCTCACCAGAAAGTAGTTTGGGTGGGGCTGCATGCTCTTAAAATATCAGGTATGCAATATTAAATGTGGCCTTGCAAATCCTCAGTGATGTCTGTGATTGAAAACCCCTTTCCATGACTACAAGTGATGTTCTAGGTTGGCCTTCTTTGCAGAAACCTCATCTTGTCATTCAGGGAACAGACGAGGAAGTTAAAATGGCACAGGAGCACAGCAAGAACTACATGCCAGCACTGCAGGGGGGCCACTCAGCTCAGACTCAGCCAACGGCACCAACGATGCTGCCTTCTTTTTGCACTGGAGCTGGTGGCAAGAGGCAGCAATGGGCACACTGCACCTATCACGGGAACTCCTGGCCAGGTCTGAGCCATGCACCCTGGCAGCACCAGCAAAACTCCTGAGGCTTGGCTCTGCTTGCACCCACAATGTTTCCCTGTCAGTTATATAGCCAGCACACCACTACTGCACAGCTGCAGACACTTTGGTAATGATACTGCAGCTGGGTAATTGACAGGTACCAGAGAACTGATCATCATGAGATGCTCGTATTCAGTAACTGAAACTCCAGAGGTGTGCTTTGTCCATTAAAAGCAGCCACTTCAAGGATGGCTGTGATTTGGAATGGAGCTACAGCAGTAAGAAAGGGGTTTTCCTCCCTGGTACTGTTTCCCTGAATGAACCCCTCCCATTGCTATAGCTAAGACCTGGCAGAGGGGAAAAAGGCAGGCCCAATAAGAATGAAGCACCTAGTGTCCCAGTCACAGAACTTCAATGTCCAGTGAGTTCAGGCCCTTTGCCTGCTTAAATCACTTCCCATTTATCATCTCAGTCAAGAAAAAAACAGCTTCATGTAGTCAGTCAATATTATTCCCATATTGCAGATGGGGGGGGGGAAGACTGAGGATGAGAAAGTGATTTTTCCTAGAGCCAAACTGGTCAGTTTGTGCCAAAGGAATGATGTGAATGGGGGACCCTGTGAATCTCAGCTCATTCTCTTAGTCACATTTTGTCAGTACTTAAAAGATTTTTTTTTAAATTTATCCTTGGATTTATATCCCGCCCTACCCCGACAGCTCAGGGCGGCTGACAATGGCACAATGTGCCAAGATTATAACAACAAGAACGCAAGTATAAAACAGTAAAATACAATAACAAATTTACAATACAAATTTAAACAAAGATGGGTAGATCTTAAACCCAACAGTAGCTTCCTGAAATCTATCATCCACTTCATGCCAGGGGCGCCTCCCCCGCCAGTGAGATCCAGACAATCGTGGTGATAGTACGACGGTGCATAGAAGGCAATGGTGGAATAGTAGTGGCGGTGGCTCCTACTCAAAAGCCTGGCGGAAGAGCTCAGTCTTGCAGGCCCTGCGGAACTGAGAAAGGTCCCGCAGGGCCCGGATCTCCTCCGGGAGCTCCTTCCACCAGGTAGGAGCCGCCACCGAAAATGCCCTGGTCCTGGTCGCCGCAAATTTAACATCACTAGGGCCTGAAATTTCCAGGAGATGACAACTCCCTGACCGTAGTGCCCTTGGGGGAACATATGGAGAAAGGCGGTCCCATCAGGTAGGCTAGGAACACAAATTAAAGTGATATTTTTGACCTTTAAAGTAATAAATGGTCTAAGAGCTTTTACTTTTGTATGATCTTGCGTGGTTAGTGTGTTAAACTAAAACCTGGAAGACCCATGTTTGACTCTCCACTCTGCCACAAAACTCAGTGGATGATCTGGGGCCACTCATTATCTCTCTCTCTCTCTGCCTAGGCTACCTCACAGGGCTGTTGTAAAGATAAAACAAGGTTTTTTTTAAAAGAACAAGTGCTATATATTATGAGTACTTATCCTTCTATACAGTCTTCATTTCACCCACACCCACACTGATGGCTGCGGGGTGATTCTGGGCTACTTATGAGCAGCACTGTTGCCATAGAAGCTTACTGGGTGAAGCTTACTCTGTGCATACTATGAATCTGTGACCTGATGGATATTATGTTTTTGACAGTATATTTTTAGTCACCTTGGGATCTTAGAAAGAAAAGCAGGATACAAGTGTTTCAAAATAAAATAAAAATATGCTACATAAAGGAGGGAACTCTGGTAAAGAGTCTTATCTGGGAAATGGCTGACAGAAAAGAGAGGCCAAGATAAGGCAGAGCTGAAGAGGAAATGGCTTTCTAAGAAGGCCTTGGCCCTTGAGAAAATCAGAGCCGAGAGCGGGAAACAAATCCACTAACAAGTTTATTCTGTCTACTTGTGATTCACTCTCATAGAGAGATACATTTTAGAACTAGGCAGAAAACACTCCTTTTATTGCTCATTTTACCTTCCCTTTGTGTTGTAGTGGTTATGGTTAGACAGATTTTGCTCAACTGTAACTTCTTTCTTTTCTGGTTTTCAAGCAGCAAGTGAGTGACCTAAAAGGCCTCTACATATAACCTGGCCCTTCTGCCCTGACATCCTTGTTTTCTTTAACGAGATGCCACAATATGTTCTGCAGTGCCAAAACTTAGTTTCCTTAAGGCTCACTTACTAGACTTTTTTGCAATCACAATAATCTCATGACAATAGGTTTCCCAATAAGCCCTTGCACAAGCAACCAAGCCTTATTTACTAGTGCCCTCAACAGAAACCATTTTTGAAGGATACCTTTGGAAGCAAACAAGTATAAAATATTAAATAGGAACTGGGAAGCCATATGGGTTTTTCAAGGGGAAAAAATGAAAGAAAGAAAAACTATGTGGATGACCAATTCTGATGTATTGTGAGGAAGCACAGCACTGCCTGTGCCTTGGATTTCCTGTATGAGGAGAAAGGCAAGAGCAACTGCTGTCAAGAGTTGCTCTACCAGAAACTCAAAGCTCTTTGCAATTTACCAGATCTGATCTACTTACATCGGAAGCTGACGAATCAAGGACGATTCCAAATCCTGAAACCTGTGGCTCCAATTTCAAAGAAGATTCAGATGCTTCCAGGCTAGACCTTTCAGCTTTTGCTGATAGCTTTTTTTCATTTTCAATAGTGCTGGGTTTCTTATTCACAGTAAGTGGTTCAATAGTCTTTGGGGGCAATTTTCTCTTTTTATTTCTCTTCCTTGACACTGTTGATTTCTGTGCACTGACCAAAGGAATGGAAGGTTGATGTCTGTTCTGAGCAGCAACTGAAGAAAAGAAAAGCCCATGAGTGAAGCACACTAATGCATTCGCTGCTGGCAATCTAGTCCCCAAACAATTTGGTTAGATAGGATGAACCTCACCCTACCCCTGCTATAGCCCAACACCCCATCTTATGCACAGCTTGACTTGCTCTGTGTTACAACGTGGGCTTCTCTTAGGAAAGGGTCAGGGATCCTCCCCGCATACATGCTGAGCAGCAATACTGCAGACCATTGTCAGCAGCACCCATGATGTCTGGCCAAGAACAACACTCCCCGCCCCCCAATTGTCAGCATGGCAACATCTTTAGCAATAAAGCCATAGTGTCTACGTTGCTCAGGCCAAAATGGCTGCTGACCCTTGACCATTATATATTAGAAATGTTATCCTTATTGATAGCCCTGGTATATAACTATTATAGCAGTTTAGAACTATGTACCAAATTTCAGCTTCCTAGCTAATATGGACATAACCTTTTGAGTAGGCTTTTGAGAAATGTCCTTAGGCAAGGACTAGTTCACAGTATGCACGTTCGACACTATGATGACTTGCTTTTGTGAAAGGCCTGTCATGAACCTAGCATCACAGCCAGAATTTTCATGTCCTTTCAAATACAAGTACAACGCTCGGCAATGGCGCCAGTTCACACATCTAACTGCCAGCCACTGAGTGTAGACTCATTCCCAGTGCCAACCTCTGCAGAGTTATTCCAGTCTAAGTCCACAGAAGCCAACGAGCTCAGAAGGTTCAACTCAGGATTTACTAGAAGTTTGAGTCCAGTGGCATTGATGAAGTGTGCATGCACACAAACGCTTATACCCAGAATAAACTCGGTCAGTCTTAAAGGTGCCACTGGACTCAAACTTTGTTCTGTTGCTTCAGACCAACATGGCTACTTACCTGAATCAGGATTTAAAGTAAGTCATGTGAAATCGAAGGACACATGAATAAGCGCCACTTCTGAAGCATACCCAGAAGAAGCCTTAGCATATCACTGCCTGTGCATAGCTCCACAATGCAATATGCTTTTATATTTTTGGTCCTCAAACTTCATCTAAATCTCGCTCTAACTTAAAATCATTGTTTTTCATTTTATCTTTGGTGGATATACTGGGGATATATTGGGGATATTCTTTTAAATATCTGAAAGCAGTTAAGCACACTCCATTCTTTCCCCCCAAATCCTGTCTCCAACACCATTTCTGCATATGGTCTGTCCAGTTTCTGGACTGGCAAAAGCAATCTAAGCAGATTTACACCCTAAACCCTGGGTTTAGAATAGCGCTGTTATGGGAAGGGGAATTTCCTTTCCAAAATTTACTTTTCTAGATACAGCCACTGATTTTTCTTATTCTCTTTTTAAAGAGGAATTTCTCTTTGGTTTCTCTTTGTAGAAAAACCAATTTACCTTTTTGTAACTTCAGCCCCTGCAGTTGTTTTATGTTACACATCACTGAGTGGGGCTCTAGCAGGAGTATAGGAAGGTTTGGGAAGACACTGCCAGCCTCTGAGCATCTACAGAGTGAAATTCTGAAATGTTGCAGAACTTCAGTCCTGCCCCTCCTCTCTTCAAACTCCTCTTTGATTAAAACAGAACTGATTCAAAACTGACTCCAAATTTGTAAAACAAAGAAAAGGAACAGATTGCTGGATTTCAGGGAGAAACTGGGTAAAGAGGAATTAAGAAAATTTCTTTTAACAAGGGTGTAACTCTGCTTCAGATTTCATTGCAAGCATGTCATGTATGCGGATTCCACTTAGATTAACTTTTTGTGATACAACAGACTATCATACCTGCTTGAATTTGCATTATCTTTCTCATGGTCTTAAGCTCTTGAAGAATGGCCTGCAATGCTGGTTGGCAGTTACAAGTGCAACAGTTTGAGCCAGCTGAGGAATTAGCTACTGGAATTTCTCCTGAGGAAGAAAGGGAAAATAAACACTGTGATGAAGACCAAGCTCTTTCCAACAGAAGACCATGACAGGATTTTAAAAGCTGACAATATATGCCTGTCAGGAAGCCAAAACCTAAAATTAAAACTGCCACTGCATGGCAGTAACCCGAGTTGTGCTCTGCCATCCCTTTCTCCCACACCAATGTTATTACATGGCATGCTGAAGTCTGTATAAAGCTGCAAACACATTGTAAGCTCACAGTGGTCCTCCTTATTGTCAAGCAAGTTCATGGCAGGTAACAGTAGCACCAAAAAGCCCTTGCTGCAATCACAGTCATTTTATCATGCTAAACAAAAAAGTCAGAGAAAATTTGCACTGGTATGGGAACAGCCTCACAAAGAAAGAGATGACTGCATAATAAAAGTTTATTACGTAAAGATCTAATAAGCCTCAAATGGGCTAAAAGCTGCTTGTTGTTTTATAGTATTCAGAAAGTAAAGTAAAAACAAAAAGGTTTGTTCATAAAAATTGGGGATAAAGAAATTCTGGAGTCGGGAACCAGGAGAAAATATTAATAACTTTCCCGCTCTCTGGGATCACAAACTCCTATTTCCCATTATTTATGTTCAAGTGCTGTAGTCAAGGATAGTTTCCATCTCTATCCTTGCTACTGAATCATGTTTCAATGAGTATTCTTTTTATTATCTTTTAGATTCAGAACCCCCTTCCTGGGCACAACTCTGATGCTTCCTGACCTTGGTAAGGTGATGATTTTAGCTAACCCCTGATCAGTTCCTAAATGATGGCCTTGCCATCCTAGACAACCATTATCAAGTGTTATATTTAAAAGTAAGGGTGTTTTTTTGATGTTTTAGGCCAAAAAGATGTTTTTGCTTGCTACATGGAATCCAGATGCATTCCTCACACGATCACATGATGCTACCCCATACCAAGTGAGAGCATTGGGAGCTGAACCAGGAATCTTCTGCATGCAAATCAGATGGCCTACCACAGAGCCATGGACCTTCCTCTAAACTAATGAGCACCTGAAGCTGCCTTATACAGAGCCAGACCCCTTGGGCTATCAAAGCCAGTGCTGTCTACTCTAACTGGCAGCAGCTCCACAGGGTCTCAAGTAGAGGTCTTTTCACATCACCTACTATCTGATCCTGGTTTAAATGAAAAGGCATGGGAATTAAATCTGAGATCTTCTGCCTGCAGTGGAGGTGCTCAACCTCCCCTCCCGAAGAAAATGATTCAACCGTGCAAGCTTGGTGCTGACTCTGGAAACACTCTGATTGCTTTTTGGAGTATTCTGTGGAATGTGGTTACCTGAATGACTTCATGGGCACATGATGAACATGTCTGTACAGCGTGCTGCCCCCCCCCCCAATGTCTGTGAACATCTGAAGGTTGGTGTACTTGTTTAGACAATGAGTGCTCTGCAGAAGAGCAACTCCAAGGGGAGAAGTGACATGGCTCCCAAAGGAAAACACAAAGACACATCAACAAGCTTCTTCCCTCTATTGCAATAATGGGATATTCTAGCAGGGAAGCACCTAATCAGCTTTGGACAGCCAAGGAAAATCCCTCACAAACAGCTCTGACAAGGTGGATAACGGAATACAAAAGACACAAAGGGAGCTCCACACAGGTGGCACTATATGTAAAAAAAGGGAGGGGGGCTCTTAAGCATGATAGGGTTAATAAAAAGAGAAAGTCAAGACAAAAACTCAACAGATCATGGACCTGTTATGAACACACCCTATGAACCCAGAACATACCACGATAATCAGTGAGCTTGACCATGTATGAACATAAGAGGCTGCCTTAAACTGAATCAGACTCTTGGTCCATCAAGGTCAGGACTGTCTACTCTTACTGGCAGTGGCACTCAAGGGTCTCAGGGAGAGCACTTTCACATCAGCTACTGACCCTTTTAAATGGAGAGGCTGGGGACTGACGCCGGGGTCTTCTGCATGACAAGCAGATGCTCTACCACTGAAGCCACAGCACCGTGTCAATAGTTGTCTGTTAACACATTGCAAGAGCAAATTCACTGAGAAGTTCTGCTGTTCAGCATTTATGCATTGCAACAGAGCATAAGGGGCTCTCTGGCCAAGCTACCCAAGTGACTGCTTGTGGCTGCAGAATGAAGAGGGTACTGATGCATCAAAGGGATTTCATTTGCTCCAAGCCATAAGTGACACAGTATGCGACTTACATCACCATCTGGGCCTGTGCTGCTGATGGCCAGGGCCAAGTCAGACCCCTTATGGCTTTGCCACAAGTCGTTGGCATAGACCTGGCCAGGGGCAGTACAGGCCCAGGAGGTCATGTGCCAGACTTAAGGCAACAAGATACCATGAACCAGCCCTACAGTGGGGCTTGCACAGAATTGGCTCCCAGTTTTTTCCAGAGGTATTCTGGGGAAATCTATCTTCCTTCCCATTTGATCATATAACCTTGCAGTAGGGGAAAAAATAATAATAATGACATGAATTTTTTTAAAATTGCCTGCTGCTCTACTCTCTCTGAATAAGATCCACATCTCTTTGTATCTCACAAAGAACTAAGCTTAGCTAATAAAAATATTGTATGAAGTCGTCTTCTCCCCTTTCAGTTTTTAAAATATTCCAATGAATATCATATTTTGAAAAAGCAATTATAGTTAGTAAATACCCGTTCATGTTCTGTGCTACAAATATAATGCGTTGCTCATGAGGGTATTAACAAACTGAAGTCTCCAATGAAGGCCTGATTTCCCACTGAAACATGGGGGAATTTACACGATAATTTCCATTATCATAGACAGAAAATACCCATGTCTACCTATATACTGTGGGGGGGGGGGCAGTATTTCATATCAAAAGCAGGCTCTGCCAATGAATATTTATTAAGACTTATTATTTATTTAATTACATTTTTAAATCACCTAATCCCAACAGGTGTGGGCCTCTAGGAGATGTACAAATTCAAAAACAATAAAACCATAAAGTCATTATCAAAATATATTGTTCAGTAATTAAAAATCAAAAGGTGAATTTTTGTGAATCCCTCCCACTATCTGGTCTGTGTTGCCTCATGCGTATGGGGTGGGTGGGAAGGAATTAGAGATGTTCAATCCTTCAGGGAACAGAGATCCAGGAAGGGTGCCAGCCATGATGTAAGCCATCGCTGTCCTCAACTAAACACCTGGCAGAACATCTCTGCCTTACAGACCCTGTGGAATTGCATAAGATTCCGCAAGGCCCTGATGTTATTTGGCAGAGAGTTCCACCAGGTTGGGGCCAGGGTCAAGAAGGCCCTGGCCCTAGTTGAGGACAGCTGGATATCTCTAGGGCTAGGGACCACCAGCAAGTTGTTCTGTGAAGAGCGGAGCGCTCTCCTGGGGGCATACCGGAGAAGGCAGTCCTGTAGATATGTTGGTCCCGGACTGCTCAAGGCCTTAAAGGTCAAAACCAAAACCTTGAACTTGACTCGGTGCTCCACCAGAAGCCAGCACAGGTCAAATATGTGCAGTCCGTGGTGTCCCTGTCAGGACTTGCACTGCCGTATTCTGGATCCATTGGCGCTTCCGGGTCAGTCTTAAGGGCAGGCCAGCGTAGAGTGAGTTACAGTAGTCTAGCCTGGAGGTAACCATCTCATAGATTACTGTGGCTAAGTTGGGGTGAGCTGCTGAGGAAAGGGGTCAGCTGCTGAGCCTGGCATAGATGGAAAAATGCCAACCTGGCTGTATGTGTGACCTAGGGCTGCCAAGTGGGGGCGGGTGGCGGGTAAACCCCCGCTTCGGAGGCCCGATTTCCGCCGCCACGGAATCAGGCCCCGGGGGGAACTCTGCCCCCCGAAGCACAGCTATGCTGCGTCACCAGAGGTGACGCAACCACGTCAATCATGTTGGGGGCGTGGCCCCGATCGTCGGAGGGAAAACTCTATGGCGGCGCGCATCGAAGGACAGCTCCCGGAGCCCAGCGAGGCTCCCCCCCCCCCGGTAAGATATTTTGACTTGGCAACCCTAGTGTGACCTGGGCCTCCATATTTAGAGAGGCATCCAAGATCAAGCCCAAGCTCTTGACGGACTGCACTGGTACCAATGGTGCTCTGTCAAGAGCAGGTAAGCTGAACCCAAGCCCCAAAGCTCCCCCACCCAGCCACAGAACATCCGTCTTTGTTGGATTCAATTTCAACCTACTCTTTTTTAACCATCCCACCACGTTCCTATCATCTTCTTTCAGATCCCTAACAGTGAAGCAAGAATCATCTTATGAAAACATTCTCACTCAATGCTCAAATCATCACCATGATTGGTTTAAGGAACAAAAGCAACATTTTTATCAAATTATAATTTTTGTACATTAATGGAAAAACAATAAACTATTAATAAAAATCAATTTTTAATTTAAAAATACTTTTAAAAAATTGAGTTGCCTTTAACAGCCATTTCTTCTTTGTGCTCTCTACACCCCTCCCCATCATGTAGGAAAGCCAATTTTGAATTAAAAGTGGCTTGCTGAACAGCAGAAACATTACAAGATATGAAGCTTACATATTTATTTTTATTTTTTCCATTAATGATGTGGCGTCACACTTCTATTCTCTGGATTGACAAACTGAAAATTCCATCAGGACAAGCAGCTTCATTAAAAAGAAGTCCAAGTCAGCTTTCAGTTTCCTGAGCAAAAGAGGACTACCAGCACAAGCAGTTTTGACTCAGTCTAGATGACAGGTTCACCCCAGTCCTGGAAGGACTAAAACTAGGTCTAGATCCATCATGAAGTAAGAGCAAGGCAGCAGTTTTTTCCATGCCATCCAATGACATCACTAAAGGATGGCCAATTTAGTTAACTGTGATGAGGGCACCAGTGGATTTGTAATACTAAGGGGTGGTTTGGATCCTTAAAACAGCAATGCAGAAAGCTGAGCAAAGCAGCCCATTTGGTTCCACAGCCCTAAAATGCCTATTTCCTATTCAAGACTGGTTTGTTTCACAATCACACTCCCCTATAAGCTGGGCGTTATAAATTGGTAGCTTCCAGGGATCAGGGCCTTCTTTGTTAGGACACCCTGATGATGGAACTCTTTCTACAACATGCCAGGCAAAAGTTGTTTTATGTTCTCAGGCTTTTATCAGGTTATACCTGTGGACTTGTTTCTTTCCTATATACACAATATACACTGTGTATAATGTGAAAGGTATTGATTTTAGTATGATTTAACTGTTTTTTGCCTTTGTTCTTATATTGTTTTAATTAGCACGTAATCCACCTTGGAGGCCAGAAAATCAAAAGGAAACTGTCTGCCACACTAGAAACTTCCAGTTCTATCCAATCTCAGGACTCATATAGACAAGGTCACTGTTTTCCCCAAATACATTTCACCCTCTGGCCAATAGACCAGCTGGGGCCAATTAGTGCTCAGGACTCAAGCCTCAGTTCAACAGTATCACTCTGCACACACATCTTTTTTCCAGGGAGTATATTTGCTAGAGAGGAATATAAAATTGTAGATGATCCTGGAGAAGGAAAGCTCGTTGTCTTCAAAGATAAAGGCTCACAAAATGGAGGAATGGGTTCTGAACACAGGGAAAAGTTAGTTTGGGTGATATTTACCACTGTTTGGGATAAAGGCTAAAATAAGAGCTCCTCCTTTCCTGATGAAACATATCTAGATTCCAAACAACAAGCAACAGTGATGTACCTAAATGGTTTTTAGAAGACTGTACCCTTTTCTGTCTCTAAAGCCAAATATAAGTTATTTAGCAACATTTGGAAATGCAAGTTCACAATTCTTAATCAAAACATAAAACACAAGGCACATCTTTTACATATACATGTAAATACATACACAGAAGAATGTATGAGATTTAAATGTAGAATCTGAATAGAGAGGACCATGTGAAAAAGGCCATGAAAATATCACAGTTATGCATCACAGCCATAATAGACCCAACAAATAATCCATTAAAGCAAAAAAGTGGAACTGTAGCAATGGGGAAGAAGACAGGTACATCACCAGAACTGTTGAACTGAAACGTTTAACGAGCCAATATTCTCACAATTTAACCTGGAAATTTAGCATAATTTAAACAATGTAATGAATATATAATGCAAGTCATACCATTGGAACCCACAGCTCTTGCTTGGTTTTGGAATGTTTTGGAACGGGTTCCATACTGTCCTGAAAAGTGGCTCGCCTGAGCAGGTACTTCATTCCATGCACCACTTGGAGATGGATGAAGGTTTGCTTGGGGTTCTGCAGAGGGGTTCAGGCGGGAAGTCCAGGCCAAGTCTAAATCCTGGGGTTCTTCCTTCAGCTTCTCACCCTCTTTGCCAACCCGCTGATAGATTCTTCCAGTGCTGTCATTCAGTAATCTTCTCATCCCTGTAATTTGTTTTTTAATTTCCCGGCTTTCATCTCCTAGTGGGAAAAAAACCCACAGTTATCACTCTATATTTGCAAGAATGGTAATGATTTGCAATACTGTATTTCAGATTACTCTGAGAATTTCTAGTTTATGAAACACATGCAATTTGTGTATCAGGCATACATTTTTCCAATGCAGACACACAAATACAAAGGAATTTAGATCCAATATACATCTCAACTGCTGTAGTATTAAGCACATGATCACCTGTATCATAGTGCACCCGTGTGTGCATGTTTCTATGCATGTTTTAACACACACACACAAACCTTGGTATGCGTTATCATACACTGCTTCGGCAGTACAGATCCTGGGATGTGTACTAGGTGGTAATAATCTCCCAAATGCTTTTCTGAACCCTGTTTTTTAAACAGGTTAATAATGCTAGTTTTTATAACATCACGGTTCATAAAGAGGGTCTCATTTTATAAAAAGAAACCAGTGGCTGTGAGGGGTTAAATTAACTCTCTTACGAGTGTCATCAAGGGCCACTGGAAGTAATAATAACTGATGGAATATAAGGCCTGTGGACATGGGACTATGCACTCCTTCTCTAGAACAAAAAGCATTCTTGGTATTCAGTGTGGTGTAGTGGCTGGAGTATCAGACTAGGATCTGGGAGACCCAGGTTCAAATCCCCCCTCTGTCATGGAAGCCTGCTGTGGGTGACCTTGCATCACTGACATAATCACTGCTAACGAGTACACCCTGCATGTATGTGCATACATCTGTTTGTAAGAAAAAGTCAACGTGTGTTCACTCTACAAATGAAACTAGGGACCAATACTTGGATAAGTGTTTGGGTTCAACCACACATTCAGCTGTATGTGTTTTGAATGTAACATGAAAATTACTTAATGCATGTATAAAGAAAAATCAAGTGTACACTTTACAAATACCGTGTGTGTGTGTTCACTGCAATTTGTGAATACGGCTATATTCCCAGCCTAGCCTACCTCACAGTGCTGTTGGGAGGATAAAATGCAAGAGAGAAGAAATGCTGTAAGCCACTCTGTGTCCCCATTTGTGAGAAAGGTGGGGTAGAAATGATGTAAATAATAAATTAATCACGGTTAGCAACCGTTACACATGACATTTAACTTTAGTTCAGGGACACAGTTAAGGGCATAAGGAAAAGAGAGAATGCAATCCCATGGATCACTCTCAATCCCTTAACCTTGTTTAACATTACATTTGCACTGGCCCTTTGAATGTCTCTTGAGAAATGACTGCAGCTCTGGGCCATCCCAGGGAAAATATTGACAACCAGGTCAACCTGTTCCTTCCATCTACCACTTTGAAGTCAAACTGAAGTTCTTTTCATTGATCACAAGTAGATTTTGGACATATTCCGCACCTAGGTTTTATTAGGATTATGCAAGTAAACACTTAACTCATCATTCCTAATAGATTTATTAGGTTGAGCCAAACAACTCAGCCTGTGCAGTATCAGGCTGCAAGTGCAGAGTGCCCAGAAATGATATAATGATGGAGAAAGCTGAACAGTAACAGAACAACAAAAAGAAAAAGAACAGTTACATTTTATTTACTATCTACACAATAGTATACAGCTAGAGTCTTCGATGCACAGAAATTCATATTATGAAAAGGAAATAATGTGGGCAAGAACACTGCAACTGTTTCTAATAAAAATCAGCACATTTAAAAACAATTATGTATTCTTCATCATCTAAGTATTAATTTTATTTATTTAATTTTATTTATGACAGTGGTTCTTGCACCCATATGAGAATTTGGAGCACAGTTGCTATTCTGCCTACTGAGGCATGCAAATACATTTCATTAGCAATAAGAAAAGTCTTCAACAAGATTGTAAAGCATTTTAAGAATGAGCAAAAATGAAGACTGAATAAGCCATTTACACAAGATGTATTTTCTACACTGAATTCACTTTCTTGTAGGAAATGCATCTAGTTTATTTTAAATGCGCACACACACAAGCACATATGTATAACACAAACAAACTCAAAGCCTTTCATTGCCGTATAAGTATCTTGCTCTTAAGGCTGGCTGGTCTATGGAATCTGAGAGACTAACTTGGGGAAATCTAGAAGAAGGAGAATTGTACTGTATTCAACATTCCTTCAATCAGGGATGGGGAGTCCTGTGGGCAAAATCTAGCTTTATTTCAATCCCAGATGGGCAACACCAAAATCAGATTGATTATATAATTTGCAGTCAAAGATGGAGAAGCTCTATCCAGTCAGTAAAAACAAGACCTGGAGCTGACTGTGGCTCAGTTCATGAGCTACTCATTGCAAAATTCAGACTTAAACTGAAGAAAGTTGGGAAAACCACTAGGCCATTCAGATTTGACCTAGATCACATCCCTGATTAATATACAGTGGAGGTGAAGAATAGGTTTAAGGGACTAGATCTGATAGATAGAGTGCCTGAAGAGCTATGGACAGAGGTTCATGACATTGTACAGGAGGCAGCAATCACCACCATCCCAAAGAAAAAGAAATGCAAGAAAGCAAAGTGGCTGTCTGATGAGGCTTTACAAATAGCAGAGGAAAGAAGGAAAGCAAAAGGCAAAGGTGAAAAGGAAAGATTTACCCAACTGAATGCAGATTTCCAGAGAACAGCAGGAAGAGATAAGGAGGCTTTCCTGAATGAACAATGAAAAGTAATAGAGGAAAACAACAGAATGGGAAGGACTAGAGATCTCTTCAAGAAAATTGGAGAAATCAAGGGAGCGTTCCATGCAAAGCTGGCCATGATAAAGGACAAAAACGGTAGGGACCTAACAGAAGCAGAAGAGATTAGGAAAAGATGGCAAGAATACACAGAAGAACTATACAAGAAAGACCTCGATGTCCTTGACAACCACGACGGTATAATCACTGACCTCGAGCCAGACATCCTGGAATGTGAAGTGAAATGGGCCTTAGAAAGCATTGCTAACAACAAAGCTAGTGGAGGTGATGGTATCCCAGCTGAGCTATTCAAAGTCTTAGAAGATGATGCTGTTAAAGTGCTGCACTCAATTTGCCAGCAAATTTGGAAAACGCAACAGTGGCCACAGGATTGGAAAAGATCAGTATACATTCCAATCCCAAAGAAGGGCAATGCCAAGGAATGTTCAAACTATCGCACAATTGCACTCATATCACACGCTAGCAAGGTCATGCTCAAGATCCTACAAGCTAGGCTTCAACAGTACGTGGATAGAGAACTGCCAGAAGTACAAGCTGGGTTTCGAAGAGGTAGAGGAACGAGAGATCATATTGCCAACATTCGCTGGATTATGGAGAAAGCAAGAGAGTACCAGAAAAACATCTACTTCTGCTTCATTGACTATGCTAAAGCCTTTGACTGTGTGGATCACAACAAACTATGGCAGGTCCTTAAAGAGATGGGAGTACCAGACCACCTCACATGTCTCTTGAGAAACCTGTATAAGGGCCAAGAAGCGACAGTTAGAACCGGATACGGAACAACTGATTGGTTCAGCATAGGAAAAGGAGTACGACAAGGATGTATACTGTCACCTTGCTTATTTAATATATATGCAGAGTACATCATGCGAAATGCTGGCCTGGATGAATCACAAGCGGGAATTAAGATTGCTGGGGAAAAGATCAACAACCTCAGATATTTGGGGAAGCAGTGACAGATTTCACGTTCCTGGGATCCAAGATCACTGCAGATGGTGACTGCAGCCATGAAATTAAAAGACGCCTGCTCCTTGGGAAGAAAGCAACAAACATAGACAGCATAATAAAAAGTAGAGACATCACCCTACCAACAAAAGTCCGCATGGTCAAAGCAATGGTATTTCCAGTAGTAATGTATGGCTGTGAGAATTGGACTAAGGAAGGCCGAGTGCTGAAGAATAGATGCTTTTGAATTATGGTGCTGGAGAAGACTCTTGAGAGTCCCTTGGACTGCAAGGAGATCAAATCAGTCAGCCGAATCAGATTTTCTATGATTCGGCTGAATAAATACCCGAAAAATACCGATTTGGCTACTGATTTAGCTGAGTCAGAAGAAAAGCCAATATTATCCAGCTTTTATTTGGGCTCAGCTTCACTTGCCACAGCAGCATTTCACCCACCTTCCAGGTGAACTTGCGCCACTTCCAGGTTCCTCGCGCGTGGCTTAGTTTTGCAAAAGCCATTTAAAGAGAAAGTTCTCTTCAAATGGCTTTCACCAAGCCCCATGAATGTCTTCCCTCCTTGAGTCATGCTGCAGCGACTACATGCCTCAGCAAGTGAAGGGAAGGCATTTAAAGAGACCACAGTCTCTTTATATGCCTTCCATTCACTCACTGAGGCGTGCAGCCACTGCAACGCAACTCAGGGAGGGATGGTAAGGTATGGAGCCGAATAAATTCAGCAATAGCGATTCTTTCCTGAATCCTAATATCATACCAATATTGGGATCCCGCAATATCAGTATACACCTGTATTTTTCTGGTCTGGTATAGCCAAACTGGAAAAATACCATTTTTGTTGGTGCATGCACACCCCTACTTGAGAACCCAATTCACCAATCTCAGCTCCAAAATAATGCTGTCCTTGGGAAAGAAACTCATTTTAGATCACTGGCTTAGATTTCCCACTTATTATGTAGGTATCTTCTACATACATGAACATTAATTGTTATAAAACTTTATATACAACCTCAGAAGTCTTTTAAATATGTAACTGAATGGGTTGACATCTGCCAATCATGTCTGCTGATTGGGGGGGGGGCAATTTTAACTGATTCTCGACTACTGTGACAGACCTCCAACTCCCCCCTCTAACTCCAACTCTCAGAGCAGTATTAGGCAGGGTATTCTAGGCCTAAACAGAAACTAGAAACTTGGCTGGTATACTTGAAAAATCTCTGCAGGCCAGCTCGGCACATTTCTAAGGACTGTAAAGTTCAACACGGATTGATGCTTCCTTCTCCAGGTGGGTATTTATGAATTATTAGGAAAAAGATACTCTCAACCTTTTCAGTGCTACAGTTTGATTTCTAT